GGCTCCCAGGACCTCGCTGCCCCAGGGGAAACATTCCCAAAGGGAGCTCAGGAGAACAGAGCCCTCCCAGCTGCACTGGGCAGGGGCTTCACTCAGCAATCCTGACATCTGGAAACTTCCAGTGAGGTTGGGACAGACCTCGGGGAATGAGAACTACACACCTCTGCCTTGGGGGATTCCTTAAACCTCAGCAGGGCTGAAGACATGGCCTGGGACAGGTACCCCCCACCCTCCATCAGCAACTCCACTGGACAGGAACTGCCTGGAGCAAATGGGAGCCTTGGAATAAAATAATACTCTGCAGAATTTACTGGGGGGGTGGGGAGGCCCTGGCACAGGTTGCCCAGAGAAGCTGTGACTGCCCCATCCCTGGAAGTGTCCAAGGCCAGGTTGGAGCAACCTGGGCTAGTGGAAGGTGTCCCTGCCCATGGCAGGGGGTGGAACGAGATAGGCTTTAATGTCCCTTCCAACCAAACCATTCCAGGATTCTCTGGCTCTAACAATATTAATATTGCACCAGATTTTCTCATTTTACTGTTTCATACCTCAAACTCCCAAGTCCCAAGGAAACCCACACTGTAATTAAAATATGGAGCTGGAAAATCAGCAGAAGGAGCTGAGCAGAAGTGAGAGGCACAGCTGCTCCTGTCCACACCAGACTCTGCACGGTGATGCTGCAGTTTTATATTCAGAGACACGAAACACTATCAAAGCCCAATAGAAGACATAAATAATTCCACTGCCAGCCATGGCCACTCACAGCAGCGACACTGGATAAACCTCTCCTTAAAAAAGAACTCCTGCAAAAGAGAAAATGAGCTTTATGCACTTCCATCCACTTCATTAACAGGCAGTCCTTACACTGAGCACGGACCTGGAGAGCTGTGCAGGACTCCATGTGCAGAGCATCCCAGGGGAGCTGTATCCCAGTGCTCCTCCACCTTGGCATGGCTGCTGGCCCAGGAAAATATCCTCCCTTCTTCCCTTCTCTTTTCCTTCCTTTCCTTCTTTCCTTCCTTTCCTTCCTTCCTCCCTCCTTCCTTCCCTTCCTTTCTTCTTTCCCTTCCTTCCCTTTCTTTCCTTCCCTCCCTTCCTTCCTCTTTCCCCTTTTCCAAGCGTTTTTCCCCCTTCCCATGGACACAAAGCCGAGCAGAGCAGACTCAGCCTGTTGCTGCTCCATGACTCAGTCAAGTGACTAATTCCCCTCTCCCCTGGGTTTCCCTCCTGGAGCACATTCCTTTTCCAAAACACGGCTTGATCTCACCTGGGACAGCACAGATAATCACTCTGGTCCCCACAGGGCACAGCCAGCTGGCTGGGGAGGCTGGAGGGGACCTGCCTGTCCCTGTCCCTTCTGTGCTGTGCCATCGGCAGGATTGGAATCCCTGCTGGAAACACAGAGCCGGAGGAAAATCAACACCCGGAGAGAGACATGAGGAGCTGCACAACAGCCCCGGCTCTCCAGGGCAAGGGACTGGGATCAAACCTGCCTGGTGACACAAGAGAGAACGAGGGTCTGGATGAGCCACAATCCTCACAGCTCACAGGTTTGTGCTAAATAACAACCCCCAAACGAGAGTGCCTGGGGACAGAGCTCTGCAGGATCCCAGAGTGACAGAACCACAGTCACAGAAACACAGAGTCACGGGATCACAGAGTCACCAAATCACAGAACCACAGAACCACAGAATCATAGAATCACAGTCACAGAATCACAGAATCAGAGAACCACAGAGTCACAGTC